CTGCTGAGACTCCTCCTCCTCTCCCTGCCAGGAGGGACTGGTACCCGCCTGCTCCCAGGCTGCTTGCTTGGCACCCTCCCCTGCCTGCCCACCCTCCCCCGGATTTGCACGGTGCAGGGAGGGCTTAGAAAGGGCTGGGGAAGCCGTGCACACGTGCTCCTGGATCCCTTTGCTTTGGTGCCTGCGTGGACCTTTATCTAGGGACACTTTCTTGTGCAGGCAATAGAAGCAGGTCCACGCACACCTTAGCTGTGTGCAGGTTCTTGGGCACGGGATGAGGGGCCTGGGAGGCAAGTGGTGAAAGGAAAGGCTGCAAGAAGGAGGGTTTTTTTTTCTCATCTGGAGAAGAGAAGAGGTGACGGGGTGGGGGGGATTTGATATTAGTCTTCAAATGCAAGAGGGGTGATTACAGAGGGGATGGAGATGGGCTTTTCTTCTGTGGCTGTAGGGGCAGGACTAGGAGCAGCAGCAGCAGGGGAAGCTGAGATGGGAGATGAGGACCTTAAAGCCCTGACTGGGATGATGGAGCTGGGGCTGGTCCTGCTCGGAGCAGGGGGTTGGACTAGATGTGACCTCCTGGGGTCCCTTCCCACCCTCATTGTCTATGACCTGCTATGAGCATGGTCAAGCTGCTGGTCAACCCCCACTTTTACGACCCGTGAGCATGCTCGAGCTGCCTGGAGAAACGGTGAAATCTCCATCCTTGGGAATTTTCAAGAGCAGGTAGAAGACATTTGGCTGGGATGTTTTATTTGCGAGTGATCTTGCCTTGGGCAGGGGGCTGGATTAGATCAGCGGTTCTCAGCCTTTTTTGTACCAGGATCCATTTGTAAACACCAGTGGCCAGTCCCGACCCAGTGCCCCTCAGTCCCAACCCGTTGCCCTCCACCCCCAGGCACTAGCCCCCCAGTGTGAGTGTGTGTGTGGGAGGGTATATGTGGGGCAGGGGGGCACCCAAGCAGCCTCTTGCAGGCTGGAAGTCTGCCTGCCTGCAAGGGGAAAAACCACAGTTTCCCACAATTTTCTCCTTTGAAGGAAAATCCATTTTTAAAGTTTGTTCATGACCCTTTCATGTATTCTTGACACCCACTTTTGGGTCGTGACTCAGTGCTTGAGAAATGCTGGATTAGATGACTGTATTTTCCTATGATCCTGTGCTCCTTCCACAGGCAGCAGCTGCCCCGACTCCAGGCTCCGTGTCATTTAGGGGCCAAGGTGTTTTGGCCTTTTTTAAAGTATTCCCTCTTGTCGTTTCAGCCGGGAAATGCCACTGATTTCACTGAAACTGCGAGTGAGGCAAAGAGGCTTCATAAGCCTATTTAGAAGGGGGGGGACAGGGTAAGAGTTTATAAAATACTAAATGGCAAAAAGAAAGTCCATAGGAATGGATTATTGAGTTTCAAAACAAGAATAAGGGGTCACAACATGAAACAAGTAGGCTGTAAGTTGAAAAGTAACACAAGGAAGTTCTTGTTCACCCAGCGTGGCATTAAATTTCATAGATTTCATAGACATCAGGGCTGGAAGGGACCTCGGAAGATCATCGGGTCCAGCCCCCCGCCCAAAGGGCAGGAAGTCACCTGGGGTCATAGGATTCCAGCAAGATGAGCATCCAGTTTCATCTTGAAGGTGTTCAATGAAGGCGCTTGAACCACCTCCGGCGGCAGGCTGTTCCAGACCTTGGGGGCTCGGACAGTAAAGAAGTTCTTCCTTACGTCCAGCCTGAAACGATCTTGAAGTAGTTTGTGACCATTCAACCTCGTCATCCCTTGGGGCGCTCTGGTGAACAAACGTTCCCCCAGATGCTGGTGGTCACCCCTGATAAACTTGTAGGTGGCCACCAGATCACCCCTGAGCCTGCGCTTTTTCAGGCTAAAGAGCCCCAGGGCTCTCAGCCTGTCATCGTAGGGTCTGCTTCCCTGACCTCTGATCATGCACGTGGCTCTTCTCTGGACTCTCTCAAGCTTCTCCACATCCTTTTTGAATTGTGGAGCCCAAAACTGGACGCAGTACTCCAGCTGCGGCCTCACCAAGGCCGAGTACAAGGGGAGAATGGCGTCCCGGGATTTGCTTGAGAAGCATCTATGGATGCAAGCCAGCGTTTTGGTCGCTTTACTAGCCGCCGCATCGCACTGCAGGCTCATGTTCATCTTGTGGTCAATGATGACCCCCAAGTCTCTTTCAGAGCTGGTTGCCACTAGATGTGCTGGAAGCTGAGAGTTTAGCCAGATTCAAAAAAAAGGGACTGGACACCTTGGAGGAAAGGGGCATCACTAGCTTATTGAGCATGGGAGCGAGCGGCACCGTCTCGGAATCAGAGCTTCCTAGACCTTAGATGCTGGAGGCTGCAAGTGAGAGAGGAATAGCGGGGGCAAAACCCCTATTCAGACCCAGTTCACTGTCCCTTTCAGCATCCGTTCTCTGCCCCTGTGGCACACAAGACTGGGCAAGGTGGACCTACCGTCTGACCCAGCAAATGGCAGATCTTATGTTCTTAAGCACTGTAACCCCCAAGCAGACCTGTGAGGTAGATGCATTTAATTGAAAAGATGGGAGAAACGGGTGGCCAAAGAGTCACCGGCTTGGACAAATCCCAATAAAGCAATCACCAGGAAATGTTCATATGAATAGCATTACAAGTCAGCACGAGAATGTTGGCATTTCAGTGGGAATTAAAAACGGGCTGACAATGCACAAAAGCATTTAAAAAGACAGGCCTCAGAGCCATCTGTTACTCTCTTTACCTGTTAATGACCTTTTTAATGCTTAAGGCCACCATGGGTTTTACAAGCCCTTTCAGACTGATCCGTCTAATGACTGCTCTCGTTGCTCGGCATGGGCAATGCCTCCGAGCAGATTTGTTCCCCTTTTATTTCCAGCCAGCTTCGCCGCGCGGTTCCCGCGCAGTAGCATCACAGAAACGCTTTGGATTTTGCAACCCAAGAGATTTGTTTTTCCTTTTAAGTTTCCGCTGTTTATTAAAAAATATTTCAAATCATAGCTGCTTTTGCAGAACTGCTTTCTTTCCTTGGGCAAAGTCAGTTGGAAGAAGCACGTTTTGGGGATGAAAGGACTGGAAGCAAAGAGCTGAGTTCTCCCACCTTTGCCTCTGAATTGCTGTGTGACCTTGGGTAAGTCACCTCACCTCCGTGTTGTTGTTTCTCTAGCTGCGTCATGGGATGTTCGGAGACTTAATTCATTTGAAAGCATGTTGAGATCCTGGCAGGGCAGGATTACGAATATAAGCAGTATTATGAACGTGGGCTCTAAAATGCTTTGACGATGTTCCTTTGAAAAATGACTGGATATGAATAGAGACATTCAAGCTAACTGACGCGTCATTACTTTACTGTAAGTTCCCTCAAGCCATTAGACAAATGTATTTGTCCACAGGTCATGGAATATTACAAGCGTTTTTGGCACAGCAGTCGGCGTCTGGATTTAGACCAAAGCTATGATTGCATTTCTGCGTGCTGTCCCAGAGGATGTCTACAGCACTGAGCGGTGAACGGAGGCCAAATTACCGCTGCCGTTGTTAGCGACCTTTTGGAAATATGTAATACTATAAATCATGCAGAATGGAAACACTCAGGTGCTTGCTCACGTCCACCCGCCTGCTTACATCTCAGATGTTGAAAACCGATGCGTTTTCTCCAGGAGCCAAACCCTGCTCTCTGCAGGCGTGGACCAGTCCCGCTTCTCCGATGGGGTCAGAGAGCACGTAGACGCCGCGTCGGGAAAGGCCGCGCTCCTGCGTCTCATAACGAGCACAGCAGTAACGCGGACAGACGTCAGGGCGCGTGACCCTGCTCAGCAAAAGCATCCGAAAATGCCAGAGCAAAGCAAGAGCCCACCAATTTCTCGTCGAAAGCCAGCTTATTTTTTTTTATCTAAGCACCTCAACGGTGCAAAACACTGTCCTCATCTGACTTTTATCAATGCCTGCTTGTTTCGTGGCACCGTCTACTGCGAACGTGAATTGGGAACGTCAAAGGAAAGGCTGTTAGTTGAAAAGCATCGCCGACACGATGGCATGGCGCAGACCTCCGCTTGCTTCGGCCAGCCGAGGAAACGCTGTCGAAGACTTGCAAATGAGTTGGCTCCACAATCGCAAAGTTTCCACCGCCTCCGGATCGGATGAATGCAGCCCTTTCTTGTGAGCCGAAGCGCAAATATGAGTCGGACTGGGAAAAAACCCCCAGCTCCTCGCTTAATCCTACTCGCGTCGGGTTCTTGACAGATCTCCAGCCACCGCCTTTTAATTTATTCCCCCCTTCTTACAAGCAAAATGAATCCAGGATGGAGACGTGCACCGCGAGGGTGCCGCGGTGTTTAGACAGCTGAATAATGCAAATGGATTTTGCATCATTCGTGAGAACGGATGTTGACGGTGGGCGTCCAGGAGGTGAGCCCTAATTGCGCGCTCATGACTTTGTCTTTCCATCTGTAAAATGGGTTCGGGGCACCGTCCAACCCCTCAGGAGAAAGCAGGCGAGAGTCGCTGCGCGCGCTCGCCTGCCCGGCGGCTGCAGCAGTTTGGTTTCTTGGAGAAACGGTGCGTTTATGACGTCTGCGAAAGCAATGCTGTCATCTTGATGTCATCGCTGTGAGGCGATGACATCACCCCACTGTGCTTTGAGGTCCCCAGGAGTGTAGTGGTGGCCAGGGTTGGGGGGCAGGCACGGCCTAGGGGCACTGTGATGTCATCAACATCCCTATGACGTCTCTCCCCCACCTTGACAGTGGGAGGGTGGGGCAGGGAGCAAGTGGGCCCCGCTGCCAATCAGAAAGGCGGGGGC